CCCCACACACACACACACACACACACACACACACATACACACACACACCATACGAGCATTTGTTGGGGCATGGTGTAAGTTCTGCCCGGGGTTCTCATTCCTACAACACACTCCACTATCCTCCCCTCCCCCCAAATGGTAAACTAAAATTAAGTGAGACAGAACTCCAGCCAAACTGGACTTGAGCTCATATCTTACCCCTTTCCCCCAAAATTGAAATTGACACATGCCTTTCTAAACACAGGGATTTCAAGGTGATATTGTTTAGTAAGAATTTGCCTGCAATCAATTCTGTGATTTTAACTTTTTAAAGTTTTAAAGCATAGTTCGTCACTGCAGTGGCAAATGTTTTTCGGAAGACCATAATGCTTTAATAAAAAGATTCCTATTTCTTCACAAATTGCTGTGGTCTAGAATGTTACCTCTCGTGGAAAGTTGATGAATCACAGCCTGCATCCAATATTCTAACTAAAGCCAGATGTAGTAACTTCTTTTTCCATAAATCCTATAACTGTAGAAATAATTATATTAATTATCTATTTTAATAGTTAACACAACTGAAAAACCCACTCCATGTTGACATATTTTTACAATGTCTCTTGAATAGTCATTTGATTTATCTGGATCCATTCTAAAGTGATTCTCAGTTCCCAACAGATTATTTCCACTCCTTTTCTTTCTCAGCTAGGTAAATTTTAACCACACAATTGCCACTCCTGACAATTGCTCTCTGGTGCAAGCCTTATTTCAAATCCTCGTGAACTTTATCTTTTTTAATCGGAGTGTGAGCCCCATTTGCGTTCCAGCATGATAGTTCCTCAGCCTCAAGTCTCCCAGATCCTCATAAATTGCCAGTGTCTGAGAGCTTCCAAGGATATCATAGAAATTTATCACTTTCTACAGCAATGTGTATCACATGGTTCTTGTATCCAGATAGAAACACTGATACACTATCCTTGGGACCCAACTTCCTTTTATTTTGTAAGAAAATGGACACAGCATAACTGTTCACAACCCAATATTTTTAATAAGATAGCAAGGTGTGGAGCTGGAGGAACACAGCAGGCCAGGTGGTATCAGAGGAGCAGGAAAGAAACGTCAGCTTTCCTGCTCCTCTGATCCTGCCTGGCCTGTTGTATTCCTCCAGCTCCACACTTTGTTATCTCAGACTCCAGCATCGGCAGTTCCTACTACCCCCAATATTTTTGGTACCTTCCTAGGAACTTGGAGACCAACAATCTAACCAATGTAAACGTAGATGCTGCTGCCATTGTTTTGAGGTGTGAGCGTAAACAAAACAGAGATAGTAGGAACTGCAGATGCTGGAGAATCCGAGACAACAAGGTGCAGGGCTGGATGAACACAGCAGGCCAAGCAGCATCATAGGAGCAGAGAGGCTGGCGTTTCGGGCCTAGACCCTTCATCAGCAACAAAACAGACCTCCCTTTTGTCTTTAATTAACATATCATCAAGGCCTGTTGTTCCGCAAACTTAAGAACTGGTCACAGGACACTCTTCACATTATCCTAAATTAAAGAGAGAATTTCAATCTTATAAACCACTTATTTGCAACAGAACGTGGCGTGGAGCTATGTCAAAGCAGGGGCTTAGTTAAAAGCCTACCATCTGCCAACAATCCAAAATTACAGAGAACATATCTCTCTTGAACATCCAGATAGGCATTTCATGGTCAGTGATATTATAGTCAGTGATAACGTGCCTGGTTAGATTAGGAAACTGATTCCCTAATTCTTCAAATATGAATTAAAAATAAATGTGGTACCACTGGGGGGAAAAGAGTGTAGCAAAATTACATTTAAAAATAAATAATGAAAGACAAAATAATTGTAAAAGTCTGCAACAAATAAATCTTGGAAAAAAATTAGATTGGTCTAGAAGCTGGTGCTAGCAAAGAGGGCTCTCAGATCTGTTTCAGACTTTTACATTTTTAGTCATTTGTCAAGTTGACTAAAAGTCAATAAATAAATCTTGTTGAACAAATTTTTTTTGTAAAGAACTACATCCATCAACCATGCACAGGCTTAACAGCACCATTATGTACTAACGTTAGATAAACTGTTTAGGAAATCCATGCTCACTGCTTTTCCAACGTACTCACTGACTTTATAAACATTTGTGCCTTCCATACTTAAACAAATTATTTACCACTTGGAAATCTTTACATATCAGTTCAGTGCTCAGAAAGTGGTGGAAGCAATCAGTATTCTTCACTCATCAAATCTAGAATTTTTTACTAAATGGCATGTTGTTAATTGCTTAGTAACTTTCAGAGGTCATAGTTCATATAGTTCCACTGCTGTGATGGCGAGAACTGATCTTTAACCAGAATAAATAATAAATAGAAGAAAACAATTACTTAAAATTTACAGCTGACATTCTAATGACAAGGTTAAAGTTGGAGTAAACTAACCTGGGATTGATATGTAGATGGAGAAAACAACAAATGCATTGATAGACTCGCGGGTTTGCACTGAGGCTATGTTTGACTGGCAACTGGCCAGTCATCATCAGATGTTACAATGTGGATCAAAACAAATATTATTTCTAAATTGTGAGCACTTTTTACACTGGCTACTAATTTGGATTACTGGTCTGTTTTAAAACTTTGAGCATGTAATTTGTCAAAAGATCTTACTTTTCAGTAACAAAGATTGGCAAGAAAGTTATTCAGGGAACAATAAATAAATTATTATATCCGAACATACATAAAATGCTTCCCTTCTTGGATTTTTGATCAATGTTTGCAACATGTATTAATCCGTAAATACTGCCTAAGTACAACTGGCCACCTTCCACAAGAGTTAACAGCTCCCACCTGCCTTTTGGAAATAACATTGCAGTCCATGGAGTCTTCATGGCCTTGATTTTGTAATGGTTTGAAAATTATTACATTGAGCTGTCTAGACATCAATAAATTAGCTGGTAAACTGCAAAAATAAAGATCCAATTGTTATGTAAACTCCTATTGAAGCATTTGCTTTAATTTAATAATGAGTATAATGCATTCTGTTCTCTCAATTGCCCAATCTTACTTAACAATGATTTCAAATACTTTAAAATTGCAAAAGAATTTTTGATGAGCTGTGTTCTAGCTGATTGCAAGTAATAAAAGCATATTATAGTCAAGGTATATAGGTGATATAAAGAAGCACAACTAATTTATAGATGCAGTCTACATATTGTCCAAAATGCAACTTCATTATTCATTTGAGTGTTGCGTCAGCCCTGTCTTAATGATAACACTGTGTCTTAGCCAAAAGGGCAACGTTTCAACCCCAGTCCTCGAGATGAAAATACATAATCTGAGCTGCCACTTGAATATACTAGTGAAGGATTGTTTCACTAGAAGAGGGGCCTTCTACTCCATTAGGTGGACATTAACAATATACTATTTGAAGAAAAGTAGGCAATGTCTCCCAGTGTCCTTGCCAACATTTAACTCCCAACCACAGCCATCAACAAACAGATTATCTGATCAAAAATAAAAACAGAAATTGCTGGAAAAGCTGTGGAGAGAAATCAGAGTTAACATTTCAGGTCCAGTGACCCTTCTTCAAAACTCAGATGTTGCCAGACCTGCTGAGCTTATTCAGCAATTTCTGTTTACAATTTCCATCACCCACAGCTCTTTTTGGTTATTTAATCACTTGTCTGATCTGTCAACGAGATCTTGCTGTTCACACATTGGCTGTAAAGGTTTATTATAATAATGCAATGTATGATGTATTCTGATCCATCAATCAGAAGTCAGTTTATTACTTATTCCCAGCCATCCACATTTCCATGCCTTGACAATATCCTCTCAATATTTGACTCTCATGGCAGATATCACAAATTTGTGTTCCTTGTGTACAGTATTGCATCCTGAATTTTAGGTAAGGATATCAACAGACAAATAGGATTTTACTATCCATTAAAATTGATGAATAGAAAATCCTGCAAAGCATGCTGGTCTCTGCAAAGTTCCTTAATAAAATCACTACTTCTTAACAGCCAACACAATTCCCAATAAAAAAAACTATTTACATTTCAGCAAGAACACAGAGCATGCCTCACCTTTATTTAACATTTTAACCTATTTCCCAATCAACCTATTCAGAGATGTTCTTACACACCATGGAGCAAGTGGGACTACCCCTAATCCGTGATAGACACACTACCACTGTGCCACCTTTATTTGTCTGCTATTCTGCTTGTACTAGTCAAACTATCATTAACTGATATAAATTTGCATTTTTGTCATCAAAGCAGGAACCTGGTGAGATAGATTATAGACTGAAAATTGTTCAGGTTGTAAATTGGAAAATCTGTTCTTCCAGATTACTTGCTGGGCAATGAAGAGAAAAAAATTCACCGTCCCCACCACCACCAACCTATAACTCTAAAAGATGTTGCCCATTGCACATCAATTAATGCATTTGAAGATTTTGTATTCTGTTCCCACAGATTCTGAGAATGTGACTTTTTGTATTGTGGTATAAACACTTTGTTCTTTACAGACTTTTCATTGATAATAATTGATGAATGCCACCACACTCAGAAAGAAGGAGTGTACAAGAGCATAATGACCAGGTACATTGAACAAAAGCTGAACAATAAAAAAGGAATTGCACAAGTGTCACTTCCACAGATCTTAGGACTGACAGCATCACCTGGTGTAGGTGGCGCAAAGAACAGAAAAAATGCAGAATCACACATTATACAAGTAAGAGTTTACATTTGTTCTGCTTACTTCTCTCCTTTATGAATGGGATTTAGCTCAAACCTATGCTTTGTCCATCTTCAGCTATAAGGAACAATTCTTAAAAGATATCTCCTACCTTGGCATGTTGATTCTGTGAATGCACAATGCTGAGGATAACAGCATGGTATCTGTATCTCTGTGAAATTAATCAAACATGCTGGTAAACAGAAGAAAAGACGAACATTGAAAGTTGCTTCATATAAATGTAGAAAGTGGATATCAAGAAGGGGATAATAATGAATGCCAGATTTAGGAATGTTAAAATAAAACCCGAACTGTGGCCTTTTTAACAACTCTAAATCATCATTGGTATGAACATAACTTCAGTACTTCGTATTTGCTTTTGTCATTTTATTAATATTTGCAAATAGAGGAAAATGTAGGAGGAACATTTGTCCCCTTCTTGGCTTTTAATTTAAAGTTAACCAATGTGGGAATAAGTAACATTGGTGCAATGATCAATAAATATGTAACAACCGTGATTAAAGGTAGAATGATGATATTAGAACTAGTTGTATTGTATTTCTTTTACCTGTATTCTTTTGAAACATGCTGTGGACTTGAGTTTCTTTTAAAACAAAATCTTCAATCAGTTTCTATCAATAGACTGGCCAAATCATTTGTAACTTGTTAGAGAGCTTCTTGTTTCTATTGAGCTGCAATTTTTCAGTAAGGTTTTGTTTTAAATAGCTCTATAGGGTAACTAGAATGGCATATTTGTTTCACTTTCTACAGCCACTTGCCAAAATGCCAGTTTCAACAAAAGTCTGTTTATGAATAGTTACTTTAAGATGTGATCAATCATATTTGTTTTGCAGGCAGTTTCAAATAGTGTCAATTGCTAAATAATTATCCTGAACACCGTTACATTGGACAGGAGTTGCCAACTGAGTGCCTTGAGTTATGGATTATGATTGCTTTGTAATAAAAGCAAAATACTGCAATGCTGGATATTTGAAATAAAAATCAAAAATACTGGAGAAACTCAGCAAGTCTGGCAACATCTGCAGAGAGACAAATAGAGTTAACATTTTGAGTCCAGTATGACTGTTCTTCAGAACTCATTGGGTTTTTTAGTTGGTCAAAATCCTGAAATGCCCTCCCTCACAGCTTTGTGAGTGTAGCTACATCAATGGGACAAGAGTGGTTCAAGAAGGTAGTTCACCACCATCTTCAACAAACAAATAGATGAATATTAATGAAGAGATGGGAGTGCTACATTGATGCAACACAGGAAAACAATTTAGTTTCCGGCAAATTAATTGCAGGTTCATTAAGATTAATAGAGCAAATCAAAAAAAAGTACCAAGTAAACTTGTCAATGTGTTTAACTATTTTTTTCTCTTTTTGATTTTGTAGATTTGTGCAAACCTTGATGCTTACAAAATAATGACTGTTAAGGATCATTATACACAACTAAAAGAGCAAGTGAAAGATCCTGTCAAAAAGGTGGAGATTGCAGAAGACAGAAAAGAGGTACAAATATTTACTTCTGGAAGTCAATATAAATAACATTCATATTTGTTAAAAAAATTCCGTAGGAGAGCTTGGTTTGGTGTAAAATTGGTCCAAAATTATTATAGGGACACCACAAATCTCTGTTACTGTTTGTTGGGACTTTTGCATTCAGCCTGTCTCACACGATGACAGATTACAATATATTCTCCGAAAAATCAAGTGATTTCCTGGAAGAGGCAAGAAACAAGATTTAAAAATCCAGATCAGTTAGAGAAAAGGAAATCTGGGAAATTCCCAACAGGGAAACAATAATAGAGTTTTATTGTTCTTTTATATTCTTTTATCATTTCCAGCTGCAACATCTAGTATAGTAACATCGAAGTGGGCCATTGACCTGAAATGTTTTTGTTTCTCCAGGGTGACCTGCTGAGTGTTATCAGCATTTTCAGCCATTACTCTAAAATTTCAATATCTGCATATTTTGGTTTTTTTTAAAGCATTCTGCCAGAATAGTAATGTACACAGCATTCAAACCTTCAAAAATTATGTTAGCTGTCCTAATAGATTACATTTTTCCATTCTATGGAGACAAAAATGCCATTGTCAGATGCAGTCACATAGTAGATCATGTTTCAGACATGACATTCAACTGTCACAAAGTACATGTTAAAGACCCTTTATTGAAGCTACTGATTTCTGCTCTGTTTGATTTTAAGGATCCCTTTGGAGGACAAATCAAAGAAATGATGATGGAAATTCACACGTACCTTGGACGAAACCCCACGTCGGATTTTGGCACACAGTCTTATGAGCAGTGGATTGTGCAAAAAGAGAAATCAGGTTAAATGGAGCATTGTGTGTTTGTAGAAACTTCAGCAAGCCATTTGATCATTTTGTTAGATTTATCGTTCTTTGTGTCTTTTAAATCTTAACTACCTAGCCTTCTTTGTTCCCTCTTAGTTCATTTGCGTCATGCATAAATATCAAATTCTCTTTTTAACCACCATAGTTGACATTTTTCTAACTATTTATGTCCTTCTGTGACATCACAGCCAAAATTTTCACATGGTTTTGTATGAAGAAGTTTTGCTAGATTAGCTATTAATTGTACGAGGTATAATTTTAAGATTATGTTTACAATTGCATACAAACAATGGAGAAACTTATCCAAAATTAGAAAGCATGAAAAAAACTTAAATAATATGTTCCTGTGGATCTTTTGGTTAGATGTTTTTGATTCTAACACAGACATTTAATCGTTATATGGGAGCATGGCATTCATGCACAAATCATGCATAAAAATGCACTAAAGACTGAATTTTAAGGAAGAGTAAGCACCTAGGACCCATGACTGAAATAGGCAATAGTACATTTGCATCTGTCAATCAAGGGCCAAATGCCTATTCCCACCTCCTTTCTAGCTCAGGATGAACATTCCTGTTCTTCCTAGTCTCACAAAAATAATAGTTAAAGCAAAATTCTTGACATTTGATAGACAAGTGTTTAGACCACTCAGTGGGAGGGATGTGCTTGATACACAAATTACCTCAAAATTATAGTCGGGATCCTATTACAGCAGCCCAATTTCTATATTACATTTCTTCTCCAGTGAAACAGGTAGATGATATCATTAAACACCTCAAAATCAAACCCAAGTTGGCAGCAACCAGCATGTTATTTAATGTGGCTGAATGTTGGATCCATTGGTATTTTAGAACACTGTCACCCAACACTGTTAGACCTCAGCTGGAGCTTTGCACTCAGTTTTGGTACCACGTTATAGGAAAGATGGGAATGCATTGCAGAGAGTTGCAGAAGCAATTTACAGAAATGGTTCCAGGAATGAAGAAGTTGGGATTGTTCTTGGGTAGAAGGAGATGTTTGCAAAACATGTGTGGGCTGGATAAAGTAAATAGGGAGACGCTGTTCCCACTCGTAAAAGAATGAAAGAACAAGAGAACATAGATTTAAATGATGTGAAAATGAATTAAGTGTGATGTGTGAAAAAAATAACTTCTTCACACTGAATAATTAGGATATGGAATGCACTGCCTGGGAGTGTGGTAGAGGCAGAGACAATTAAGATATTCAAGAGGGCATTGAATGATTATTTAGATAGACATGGTATTCAGGAATATGGGGAAAAGGCAGGAGACTGGCTCTAGGTACCAGATCAGACATGATAGGCAGAAAGGTGTCCTTCTGTGCCATAATAATTCTGTGATTCTTATTCCAGTCCAGAACATTTGCCATTGTCCCAAAGGACCATAAAGAGAGAGAGAGACAACCGGTTATGGTTAACCTGAGGGTCACCACACTCAGGGAGGGGCAAGGACTTTCATGGTAACCTCAGCTGGTGTGGGAATTTAACCCATGTTGTTGGCACTATCCTGCATCACAGACCAAGTATCCAGTGAACTGAGCTAACCAGTACAGTAGCTCGGATTACACAAATAAAGGAATCGTCTGTTTTATTCTTAAAAGTCAGGGGAAATATCTGCAATATTTTTGTACAATCACTAACCAGTTTGGGGTCTTTATCAGCTCATCTTTTAAACAGTATTGTACGAGGCTAATCGTAAACTTATTAGATAGCTGCAGTTTAGGAAGCAGTTGAGTGACTCTACTGTACTTCACCTTACTCATACACACTTTTTGTGAATTATATCACTTCACCTTCCACAGGAGCCAAAGAGGAGAATCGTAAACTGCGTGTCTGTGCAGAGCATTTAAGAAAATACAATGATGCCCTGATGATTAATGATACCATAAGGATGATTGATGCGTACAATTATCTCACGGACTTCTATAAAGATGAGAAAAGGAAGAAGGTCATGGATGATGATGAGGACGTACCAAAGTCAAAACTGGATGATACAGATAGATTTCTGATCAGTCTATTTAATGGTAATGTCCTTCTAATATGTAGCATACTCTTGAAAAGCTTAGTAAATATTCATGTACAAGCTAACTACCCAGTCAAGTTCACTATTCCCAAATTAAAATTTTTTGAACAGGGTTTCTTTATTTTTTTAACTGTGGTCCCTTAACCAGTTTAAAATTATGATGTCACTGTACCTTAAATGCCTTGGTCAATTATGTGGTCATTTATCAACACCTTTTGAAAGTCCATACAGACATCAACTCAATGACAGTCATCAATCCTGTCTGTTACTTCATCAAAAAAACTCAAATCAATTGATGTACACACTAATGTATGTATAAGATTGTCCTGGTTGGACATTCAGTCAAACTGTTTTTCTCTTGGTTTCCTGTGAAAAAGTGTCCAGTTTTGATGTACCTCATGCCCATGATGTGATATGATTGTGTTTGTTAAGTAGACATCATGTAGAACCATGGACGTAAATTCATCTTGCTTCTCTGAATTTGAGTTTTTAATACTCTGTTGTATTATTGTCCTCAAATGTAAGAAGCCATTCAATAAGATTGATTGTGTTGCGGAAAGAAGCTGGTTTAAGTTAATTACCAGTAAAGGATAAAAGGAAAAGAACAGAATTGGTGAGAAATTATTTAGCAGATTTGGAGGGGAAAAACAGATTTAACATTTCAGGTTGATGATCTTTCATCAGAACCAGGGAAAGTTAGAAATGTAATAGATTTTAAGTAGGTCGGTTGCGGAAGTATAGAAAAATAACTAATGAGAAGCTCTGTGAAGACATAAGACTTTAATTACATGACAAAAAAGTTGATGAGGCGATGCAAAATGGAGTAGAAATGACACAATAAACAGAAGGTGTGTCAGGGGAGGTTGCCTAACACTGAGAGCTAAGAACAATCAAGGACAGAGATGTAGCCAGCTGTCTTTCATTGGAAGGAGCACTTTGAGGATCTCCTCAAGCACCCACTCAGCTTGATGTAGGTGTCCTTGAATACATTCCACTGCATACTACGCCCACCACTTCAGCACAACACTAGTCCAGCATGAGGTTAAAAAGGCCAGCTGACAACCAAGAACAAACAAGACTACCAGTCCACATGGATTCACTGCAGAAATATGGTTGAGAAGCACTGTTGACACAAATACATAACCTCATCTCTTTTATCTGGAAGGAAGGGGGCATGCTGGGAGATTTCTGAGACACTGTAATAGTGACTATCTTCAGGAAAATGGAAAAGGCTAATAATAATAACTACAGAGGGGTGTTCCTGCTGTCTACCACAGGGAAGGTCATTGCAATAACCTTCTTAAATGCTTCCTCGCAGTTGCTCCTACTATAGTCACAATGTGGCTTCCATCCATCGAGAGGCATAGTGGACATAATTTTAACATTAAGACAAATGCAAGAAAGTACAGAAAGCAGCAATATCTTCTATAGCAGGTCTTCTTTGATCTCATAAAGGTACAATTACAACATTTAAAAAACATCTTGATGGGTGCATGAACAGGAAAGGTTTGGAGGGATATGGGCCAAATGCTGGCAAATGGGACCAGATCTGTTTGGGATATCTGGTCAGCGCAGACGAGTTGGAACAAAGGGTCTGTTTCTGTACTGTATAACTCTATGACTCTGCAACTCTTTGCCCAATATTTGACAAGTTACACTCCCTCTCTAAGGTTTCTGAAAGCAGTTGATTATTGAAAGGCTTTTTTTTACTTCATGCATTAAATTGGCAAAATTTCCTATTCGTTAACACTTTCATCATGATTTAAAGCAATTTAATTGAAAGATACAAGATTTTGGAGGGGTTTGACAGGGTTAGCACCGAGAAGTTCTTTGTCTTAGCTGGAGAATCATGTACTCTGAGGGTCACTCTCAGGATAAGCGTCATTCATTTTAAGATTAATGAGGAGAAATTTCTTCACACAGATGGTTTTAATTTGCTAAACCAGACAGTCAAGACTGCTCCGTTATTGGGTATATTAAAAGCTGAGATAGATTATTTTTTGACCGGTAGGGGAGGTATTATGGGGAAAGGCTAGGGAAGTAAATTGAAGGCAGAAGTTCTGCCATGATTGCATTGAATATCTGAGCAGGCTTGTGGGGGCCATGTGGTCTACTCCTGCTCCCACTTCTTGCATATAAATCCAGTAGGATGGTTGATGTAGGAAACAAAATTTCCATATCAATGCAGGAGCTAATCTGTGAATATGATTTAAGTAAATGGTTTGGTTTCAATGAAAATGTTTTGTTTTGTGGCCAAATTCATGCATATCCTGCTTAATAATGCTTGACATTAACATTTCAAAAGTAAATTTTAGGAAATGATGCTAACTAATGATGAAATTCCACGACTTTAAGCATATATCAGAAATTCAGGAATAAAAATTGTTGGCCTTACAAGATTGGAAATGATTTAACTTTTTTAAAAAAAATTATCCGCCTTTTCAGAACAACAAGAAAAGCTTCAAACTCTTGCTGGAAAGACTGAGTATGAAAATGGAAAACTGACAAAATTACGAACAACTATACTTCAAGAATTCTCCAGAAAAAGAAACTCAAGAGGCATTATCTTTACAAAGACACGCCAAAATGCACATGCTCTGCATGAGTGGATAGAAGAGAATGAGAAATTTAAGGAGTTTGAAATTAAGGCCCATTACTTAACTGGAGCTGGCAATAACAGTCAGTTCAAACATATGACTCAGGTAAAATGTTTTCCTGCAAATGTGAAATCCACTTCCTTCATAATGATCTCACGACTCTTACAAATTACATATTGGTTTCATTTTTCATTACATCAATTTATGTTTACATAGTGTCTTTAACTTAGCAAACATCCTGAGGCACTTCACAGAACCATAATCAGATAAAAATGAATGCTGAGTCAATGAAGGAAACATTATAACTGATAATCATCAGTAAAATAAATAAAATGTATTATGTAAGATCAGGTGATGTGTGACAAATTTTATGAGCATATCACAGATCAAGAGTTTTGAGGAAGGGAAAAGTATGATGGATGGAGAATGGCAGTGGAAGTTATGTATATTGAGTATCAGAAAGCTTTTGAAAATCTTTCACACTGGAACTACTGGAGAAGATTAAGTTTACTGTATTCAGGGATGTGAGCAAATTTGAGTAAATATGAGTTAGAAGGGTGGAAACGGTAATAGTTAAGAGTACTTTTTCAATGGATTGCGATGTCCATCAGGTGTTCTATTTTAGGATTATTTTTATTCACTGTGTGCATTACTGATTTGGATTAGTACTGAAGGAGTAGAGAACAAATCTGAAGACAATATTAGAACAGGAGGCACAGTAAATATTTCTGTGGATTAAAAGAATGCAGTTGGATGTTGATAAGAGATCTGCTGACACCCCAAAATGCTTTCAGTATGTATGCATGAAATGTACATGAGCAGTACCCCTTGCCAATGATGTCATTCCATCCCATTCGCTCATATTTATTGCGCTTATTTGGGTGCTGACATGTTTTCACTGGGAGGGTGTTTTAGAATGTGTGCATGTGCAGAACTTTCCATGTGCTCAATGCGACCCTTTCAGGGATGTCAGGACAGACAACCACCAACAAAATAATGGAGTATGGGGAAGAAAGCTGATGGAATTCATTGTCAGTAAATGTGATGTACATTTTGGTAATAATTAAGTTTTTTGAAGGGATGATATATAAGACCAGAGGTATTTGAGGCTTAAGGTTCACAGGAATAGCACCTCATGCACCTGATGGCTCAGTGCTCTCCAATGTGACGAGTTGCCTGCCTCTCCCAATCCACTGAAAATTGATTTAAGCCACAGAGGGTGGAATTCTGAATGAGCACTAAAAATCCTGTGTGCTGAAAAGCAACATAAGTAATACAGATGTTGGCAGTGCTGAAGTCAGTGAAGATGTGCTAAGAAAGCAATACGAAGTAGTCAGAGGCTTGTAGCCACCAACTAAACATAAAGTGAGTGAGCACGAAGAAAGAAAGCTAAAAGTTAGAAGATGCATTCTGTGCAGTTACATGAGATACATGTGTGTCCTTGTACAAAGTGACCTGACAGAATGCAGGTCCTAAGTGTCACTGAAGTAAGGTGTTGAAGGACTGCAGCAGTGTGTGAATTGGACGCAGAGCAGGCATAATGGTGTGGTGAGGCTGGTCTTTTGCCTGTGCTGACTTGCATGGATAAAGAGCTGAATAGCATTGTGGCCATAGGACATACAGGAACATGGTGGTGAAGAAACGGTTGGATCATAGCCCTTGATAAGCAATCAGCAAACTGCAGTTGCCTAGGTACCCGCTTTGATTTACATTTTAGGAATCTGTGTGTTTAATTTCATAGAAAGGAAGAGGAGAATTAAAAGTGGCATTAAAATAAGACAAATTGGGTTATAAATGAGATGCAAATGCATGAAAGTAAGGAAGTTGTTGCTCATTAGCAGGATTCTTAAGTTTCCCTTTTAAAGCTTAAGAGGAAAATTGCAAAACCTTTTCTTAACTTTTAGATTCTTGATTTTTTTGTAATTTTCTTCATACTTTTCATCATTATTCATGCCACACCAGGGAAAGGAAAATTCCTCCCTATTTTAACTTCTCACAAAACACTTTACATAGTTATACATTACAGTGGTGTAGTGGTGAGATCACTGAACAAGTAACTTAGAACCCTAGACTAATGTCCTGGTGACAGATATTCAATTCCACCATGGAATTTTAACACAGTACTATCCCTGTAAAGACGAAGGCCCATTTTCACACTTGGTATATTTTCCACCATGTCCAAAGGCTGTACCACTATGCTTAATGGAATTCAGAACAGACCTAGCAGCTTAAAACTTGGCAACCTTCAGTAACAACATTGTATTCTACCACAATCTTCAAACTTATAGCCTGACTTATTTACCCCGTTCTATCATCACCGTCAAGTCAGGGGTTCAAGCCTGGTTCAATAGAGAGTGCAAGAAGACATGCCAGGGGCAGCACCATATACCTAGACAGGTAAACCTATTTCCCAAGCAGTTGAAGAGCATGCAATAGACAAAACTAAATGATCTCACAAACAATGGATCAGATGAAAGCTTTGCAGTCCTGCCATTTCCAGTCCTGGATGGTGGTAGACAATCAAACAACTAAAAACTCCACAAATATCCAATCCTCAAAAATGAAGGAGTTGAGCACATCAACGCAAAAGACAAAGCTGAACATTGGCTCAGAGATAGTGGCAACTGCCGATGCTGGAGAATCTGAGATAACAAGGTGTAGAGCTGGATGAACACATCTGATGCTGCTTGGCCTGCTGTGTTCATCCAGCTCTACACCTTGTTAGCACTGAACATTGGCTGTTACCTTCAAGCATTACTTCCAAGTGGATGGTCCATCTTAAACTCCTCCTTAGGTGCACAACATCACAAAAGCTATTGAATACACTCAATGTGATATCAAAAAATGCCCGAAGGCATTGGTGCTGCAAAGGTATGGGCCCCGATAAGATCCTTGACAATCGTGAAGACTTGTACTCTGGAACTATCTGTACCAGTAGCTATGCTGTACCAGTACAGTACAACAATGGCATCTACTAGGTAATATGGAATACATTCCAGACCTGTCCTGTCCGCAAAAAGGCAGGACAAGTTCAATCCAGTCAATCGTCACTCTCTCAATCTAATTTAAATCATCAACCAAAAGATGGAAGGTGTCCTCGACAGTGCCATCAAGCAGACATAGCCTGCTCACTGATGCTTATTGTGGACTTTACCTGTGACAGTCAGCTCCCGACCGGTTTACAGCCCTGGTTCAAACATGGCCGAAAGAGCTCAACTCAAAAGGGGAGATGAAAGTGACTTGACATCGAAGTGCTCTGGTAAAATTGAAGCCAATGGAAATCAGGGGGGAAACTCTCCAATGTTTGGAATAATACCTAACATAAAGGAAAATGGTTATGGTTGTTGGAGGTAAGTTATCTCAATCAAGGGACATCACTGCAGCAGTTCCTCAGGATAGTGTCCTTGGCTCAACCATCTTCACTTCTTTCATCAATGGCCTTCCTTCAGAAGTGAGGATGCTCATTAATGATTGCAAAATCTTCAGCACTATTTTTAACTCCTTAGATATGTAGGACATCTATGCCAATATACAGCAAGACCTGGACAACATTCAGGCTTGAACTGATAAATGGCAAATGGTGCCCATGCCACACAAGTGCCAGGCAATTATCATCTCCAACACAAGAGAATACAACTGTCGCCCTTTGATTTTCAAAAGCACTACCATCATTGAATCTCGAGCTAGCAACATCCTGGGGATTACCATTGGTCAAAAACTGTACTGGAGCAGTTGTGGCTTCAAAGCAGGGAATTTTGCAGCAAGTAAATCACCTCCTAATTCTCTAAAATCTGTCCACCATCTAGAATGTACTAGTCAGGTGTACGATGGAATGCTCCTGTCGTGTGCAGATCCACCAACTCTCAAATAGATTGACTCCATCTAAGACAAAGTAGCCCACTTGATCGGCACCAAATCCACAAACATAAACATTCACTCCCTCCACTGTAGATGCGCAGTGGCAACAATGTATACCATCAACAAGATGCATAGCAGTGAAAGCTCCCTCAACAGCATCTTCCAAACACATGATCACTGCCAGCTAGAAGGACAAGGGTAACAGATACATGGGAACACACCTACACGTTCCCTTCCAAACCACACACCATCCTCTTTTGGAATTACATCAGTGTCTCTTCATTCTCCTCAGGATCAAAATCACAGAGCTGCCTTTTTTACAGCACTCTGGATGTAATTATACTCAACAGACTGCAGCAGTTCAAGGAGGTGGCTCACCATCACTACCTGTTAGGGATGGACAATAAATGCTGGCCTTGCCAGTAATGCCCATATCATGTGAAAAAAAATTAGGGATTATAAAGCATTAAATGGAATCTCAAGAGAGTATTGATCCACTCTGTGGTCCACTTCCTTACTGTACATTCTCTTTATGGCATTGTATCAAATGGGGGTGGGATGCGAAAGTACAAATTGTGATTTCTGAAAAATATCTGTTACATGGGTAGTTTTAGTTAAACTTCCTCAGCATGCATTTTGTTATCACAGGTTAAAATAACTACAAACAAGCAAGTTTGTTTGTATACATATTCTTATGTGGAGGTGAATTAAAAGGTGCACAGCAAGGTAATTTTTTTTAACAATTTAGGTTATCAGAGTGTAAAAATGACCACATCATTAAAGATTTTATAAGCATGACTATAATTTTATATGCAGGACATTGAAGATTTGACCTTGGAGACTACTGTCATGCTATTCATTCAAATTTGACTTAATTAAACTATGACTTAAAGACCCTAAATACAAGTTGCTGAAGATTATTTTTCTACTGTAATATTTTTTCTTGCATATCTTAAATTTATTAAACATTCTTGTATTATTGAAAAACAGAATTCCAAATTAATTAGGGAGAAACTAAAAACCATCAGAATTTGCATAACATTGGATTTTATTTACATCTTAATAGCAAAAAATGAGCTAGGCCATACTCTAATTGCATTGTGTATAAACATAACATAACGACTTACTGAGTTATAACTAAAAAAAAGACACTTCTCTACTTCAATGTCAGAATTAATCAGCGTATCATTATCCAACTTTAATGTCTTCCTCAGCCGCTAAAATCAATAGTGGATCTAGGAGATCATAGAGTCAAACAGCATGGAAACAAACCCTTCAGTCCAACCAGTCCATGCTGAACATAATCCCAAATCCCACCAGCCTTCTCCTGGCCCATATCTCTCTAAACCTTTCTTATTCATGTACTTACATAAATGACTTTTAACTGTTGTAATTGTGCCCACATCCTCAGGAAATTCATTCCACCTGTGAACTACCCTCTGTGTAAAAAATTTGACCCTCATGTCCTTTTTTAAGTCTCTCTCTTCTCACCTTAAAAATGTACCCCATAGTCTTGAAATTCCCCATCCTAGGGAAAAGACATTTACCATTAATCCTATCTATACTCCTCATGATTTAATAATCTTCTATAAGGTCAACTCTGTCTTAGCAACTTCCTAATAATAATTGTGAATGTTGATATATGTTGGTATATAACTAAATGTTGGGTATATTGTATATAACCTATATTAATGCACTATCTATTTCTGAAGTTTTCAATATATCTTTATTCTTTAAATAGAATGAACAAAAGGAGGTGCTGGGTAAATTCCGTGATGGAGACATCAACCTACTGATTGCAACTACTGTAGCTGAAGAAGGTCTAGACATAAAAGAATGTAATTTTGTAATCCGTTACGGTCTAGTCACCAATGAGATTGCTATGGTTCAAGTAAGTTTATTTGATGTAGAAATTGTTAGATGAAACATTTTTGTTTGGTAACATATTGAATTTTTGACATGAGATATAATCCTTATGACAAGACCCTTTGGGAGCATATGCCTTCAGCTGTCTAATTCAGCATTGAAAAATTGTTACAGTTATGCAAGAAGAGGGTATAGAGTTGAAGTGGCTTAATCACTCCTTTTACAACCTGCCTTTCTTCTATAAAGTCCTTGAATATGTGTCCTGTCTCAAATTTGTATCCGTCTTTCTTGGAAATCCCATGTTTGAATATTTTTCACCAGGTTTATACCCTTGCTTCAATTCTGAAACACATTATCAAAGTCTTAAGTTATATGTTATGGGACTGAGACAAAGGTAAACTTATGCCTCTTTGTTTTCTCAACCTGTCTACAATATTTTACATGGTTGATTGTGCCCTCCTCACAATGAGTGTCCATCATCACCCAGGGACTCTGTCCACCTTGGTTCCATTTTGTTTATCGATTGAAATAAAGAATCACCTCCAACAGCTTCTCCTTCCACTCTTATGACCTCCAGTGCCCCCTGAGGATCTTTCCTTGGTCCACTCTTATTGCTCATCTACATTCTGCCCCTTAGCAACATAATCCAAAATCACATTGTCAGTTTCCACATGGACAGCATGACAACACCCAGCTCTAGGTTTTGCACTATCTCGCTTGACCTATCTGCAGTCTCATTTTAATTCTATTATCTGCTTGCCAATATCTAGCACTGAATGAATAGAAATTTCCTCCAGCAAAATATTGAGAAGACTGAAGAAAATGGCTTTAGTCCCACAAAAATTCTGCTCCCAAGCCAGTGACTCCACTGATTTCCATCTGTATCATCACTCAATCCTGCCCTACTTCACCTTGTTGGTTGTTGAAATTCTTATGCCTTTGTTACCTCTAGACTGACTATTCAAACACATACCTGACTAGCCTCTCATCATCTACCCTCTGTAAATTTAAGTGCCAAGAATTTTGCTTCCCACAACCTAACTTGCAGCAGATTCTGTTCATCCATGATCCCTGTACTCATTGAGCACAATGACTCCCAAAAGGAAATGTCTGGATGTTAAAATTCTCATACTTTTTTTCAAGTTTCTCTACAGCCTCAAACTGCACTGTTGACACACACACCCTCCTTTGTCTTCCATAAAGATTGCGGTACAACTCCTGGCACGTAATAAATTACGACAATACTGCCCTGATCCACCTAACATGATACTATAAACAATGAATGATTGGAGCTTTGTTTTGGTCTGTTCAATCCTCAATGCTTCCCACCAGCCCATCCCAGTTGGACAATCTCATTCAGCCATATATATTTAACCCATCCACAGCTTGAAGTCTGTAAACCTGGCTAGAGCTAACAAGAGCAAGATACATTTTGGAGCAAGGTCTTTTACAGAGGAGATGGCATTACTAATCTGGGCACTAAAGGCCCAGATTATGTTTAAAGGATTCAATCAATTTCTACCTAAAATACCAATCAAGGTACGATTAGCTAAGATGCTGATTTCCTTATTTAAAAGGTATTGGTTACCTGAAACATGCAAATGGTTTGGGCATACCTTTTAAGATATAAAAAGCCTGGTTATCAATGTTTATGGGTGGTAAGGCTACCAACCCCGTTCTGAGGGATTATAATCACATTGCTTTCAAGCAAGGATATCTGAAATCAAGCTTGATCTACTTTATCACTCTCTTACATGTTGTTTTGATATTATACAGTTATTGTTATTCATAAGAAATTATAAGGTAAAAAAAAATCAAGGTTTATGCCAGAGTGATTATCATTGCAACCTTTCTTTTCATTGAAATACATAGTCTTAGATGCCTCACTTCACTGAGAATTTTCAAAAACATACATTTATTCTGTGCTTTTTACTGCTCACTTGCAGGCTCGTGGAAGGGCACGGTCTGACGATAGCACTTATGCCTTAGTAGCAAATGAGGGGTCAGGAGTTCTTGAACGTGAGAGTGTGAATGTTTACCGTGAGGCAATGATGCACGCAGCAATTCAAAAAGTGCAGGAAATGCCAGAAGAGGAATACAAAAAACAGGTACTCAGAAGTATTTCACAGATGAGTTCGTCGTTTCACTTTTTTTTCTGAATGCTGATGACATTTTTAGAGATTTGAATTTGAATTTCCAACCCAAATGAGCTTTGATCAGTTAAATCTGTGGTAGAATTCGGAAAATGTAGCTTTATAAAATGTCCATAATCAGTAACCAAGTGACATGAACTAAGTTGTGTTTCAGAATGAGCAATGGGCTGAAGTTTCACCTGAGCAGACACTATAACTGTAGAGGTCCTGGATTAACAACTTTTACACTGTTTCACCACAGTTTCCATGGAATTTAACATTAACATTTGATATTGTATATTTTGATCATTGTGCAGGAATGTCTGACATTACACTCCTGCTATATCAAAGCTGCTTCCTTTGCCCAAAGTATATTGAATTATGAAGTACCAGCTGCATTTATTTAATATAATAAATGGAGGTTTGTGAATACTATGGTCATTGTAAGATCCTCCTCCTCCCCAATATCTGCCTACTAATTCACTGTTACGGGCATTTTGCACACATTAATTCTCACCAACATTAGCACGCTTACTGCTACAACAGTCAACAATTGTGATCTAGAACAGATTCAAATTTCAGTGGTAACACAATCATCTCTGATTCAGAAGGTTGTAGATCGAGTTTCAGTGCAAAGACTGTTCACATTATCTAGCCTAAGATTTCAGTGCAGTACTGACAGACAGCTGCAATGTCAGAGGTGCTATCTGTCCAATGAGAAATTTTATTAAGGCTCTCTCTGCAATCTCAGGTGAGTGTAAAATTCTGTGTATTACACAACACAAAGAAGAACGGGGACATCTTAGCCAATAATTGTTCATCAACTGATATCACTAAAAATGATTTTCTGTTTGTTTATTTCATTGTTGTTTGCGGGATCTTACTGTCTGCAAATTGTCTGCCAAATTTATTAATGTGACAACACTGCTTATGGTTCTAAAGTTGTAATAGTCTATAGAGATTAAAGCCAGATTAAAATTTTGAAATGTGCCAAAAATTGCAAGTTATTTCTTCCTCTCATTTGTTTTGGCATTTACAAGAGGGAATGCATGTGATGAAAAAAAATTTCTGAATCAGGCTCAGCCATCTGTGGCTGTGTAGACTTCTCTACAGTATCTGATGCAGTTGTGTCATCTGGTAGGATTATTATATATTGTAAATGCAAATGACAAATAAAAAACCTGCTTTTAGGTCAGGCACTTCACACGAACTGTGCAACTGTCATTCATCAGGATGGCTTTTGCATTTTACAGTGTCATATTTTGGTCAAAATAATAGCCAATAATCAAAAATAATGCCAGTCATCTTCATAGATTGTAGTTTCTTCAGTTTACAGGCAGAGTAGTTAAGCAATAAAAACAAAACTATCAGGGAATTTTCAAATGCTAACAACTTTCTTTCTTCCCCAGTCCTCCTGCACAAAACATAATAGTAATTTGTTGCTTAGCTTTTCTCCCCATTTCTTTTTGATGTGATTGTTGGCATTCTGCTTGGGCATTTTTGTTTCAAAAGCTCATTGTTTTCATATTGAAGGTATTGAGTTTGAAAATTGAATGACATTTTAAGAATTTTAGCACGTACTGAATTGATGATACTTCTTTGTGGAAAGCATTCTTCTCAATAGTTGGATCTGAAAGTGATTACATGGTGGCCCTGAAATAACTGATCCATAATCTTAAAATAGGGTTTTGTCTTGAATTACTAACCTTTTTCATCAAAATGAAACCACATGCCCAGGAAGATTAAGTGTTCTCGTATGCTTAAATTCTCTGAAATTCGGATTAAATAGGATATTTAGCTGATCAAATGCAGTTTATGATTATGACTAAAATTTGAGTTAATCAATACTAACTTAACTGCAATTTAAGATGTGTAAATTTTATACCATAATTGTATATAAATCAAATTTTAAGAAGCATTTGATAAGGTACCTCACATTAGACTACTTATTAAAACAAGAGCCCATGACTTTGGGATAGAATACCAGCTAACTAGCAGAAGACAGAGAGTTGCGAGAAGGTGAGCACTTCCAGGATGGCAACTTGTAACTAATGGAGTGCCACTGGAATCAGTGCTGGGGTCACAATTGTTTACAACATAAATGACTTGGATAAGGAAAGTAAATGTACCACAGCTAAATTTGTGGATGATACAGAAATAAGAGGGAAGGTGAAGATGCAGAGGGAAATCAACAGGTTAAACAAGTGGGCAAAAGCTTGGCAGATGGAATATAAATTGGGGAAATGTGAGGTTATGCATTTTAGCAAGAAAAATAAAGGAGCTGGTAAAGGAGAAAGATTGCAAAAAGCTACAGAACAGAGGGTTTTGGCATCTTCATGCATGAATGACAAAATCTAGCATGCAAGTTCAGTGGGTAATAGGGAAGGCAAATGAAATACTGGCCGTTAACTGAGAGGGAATGGAGTATAAAAGTAGGAAGTGTTGCAAAAACTGTACAAGGCACTAGTCAAACCACAGCTGGAATACTGTGAACAGCTTTGGATCCCTTATCTAAGGAAAGTTACATTGGCATTGGAGGCGGTCCAGAGATGGCTGACATGGACTGTCTTTTGCGGAGAGGTTGGGTAGGCTCAGCCTGTTCCCATTGGAATGTAGAAAAATGAGAGGGGACCTTATTGAAACTTACATGATCCCTAAGGGATTTAATGGAGTAAATGCAAAGGGGTTGTTTCTTCCTGTGGGAGAATCTAGGATCAGAAGCATAATCTCAGAATAAGGGGTCACACATTTAAGACAAAGATCAGGACAAATACTTTTTCTAAGAGGGTAGTGGAATCATTGGAATTCTTTACCACAGAGGGCTGTCAAGGCTGAGTTATGTCTAATCAAGGCTGAGATAGACAGATTTTTAATCAGTAAAAGAATCAAGGGTTAAACGGTAAAGTGGAGTTGAAGGTTATCAGATCAGCCATGATTTCAGTGAATGGTGCAGCAGACCAACAGGCTGAATGCACTACTTCTGCTCCTGTATCTTATGGTTTTATGTACAACATAGAACGTTATTTGACAGTTGTATAACTCCCATTTGCTTTTCCAATGATCAGATAGAAGAAAGGCAGTGGCAGAACATCATGGAACACAGAATGAAAAAGAGGAAGAATTTGGCAAAAAGAATAAAAAGTGATCCTTCTAAAGTGACCTTTCACTGTAACACCTGCAGCAAACTTGCTTGTTCAGGAAAAGATATTCAAGTAATCGAAAACATGCATCACGTCAATGTCACAGATGAGTTCAAGTAAGATTTCTTAAAACTTCTGAAAATTTATCATGAAATAAGCAGAGTCTTGCCCTCAAGATTCCTTCAATGCACATCTTACCAATTCCCAATGGACCATAGCTTTTCCAGAAGCAGATATGATACAGTGGCTCAGTGGTTAGCACTGCTGCTTCACAGCACCAAGAACCCGGGTCCAATTCCACCCTCAGGCAACTGTCTGTGTTGAGTTTGCACATTCTCCCCATGTCTGCGTGGGTTTCCTCTGGATGCTCTGGTTTCCTCCCACAGTCCAAAGATGTGCAGGCTATGTGATTGGCCATGCTAAATTGCCCATAGTGTTCAGGGATGTGTAGATTAGGTGGGTAAGAGGGGGATGAGTCTGGGTGGGATGCTTTGAGGGTCGGTGTGGACTTGTCGGAGGCTCAGAGACCGCTTTGTAGAGCACACGCGCTTTGGTCGCAACAAACGACAACATCTTCCAGTCGCGAACGACTTCGACTCTCCCTCCCACTCCCTGGGCAATATGTCCATCCTGGGCCTCCTCCAGTGTCACAATGACGCCACCTGGAAACTGGAGGAGCAGCACCTCATATTCCGCCTTGGGAGCGAAAAACCCAATGGTCTCAATGCGGACTTTACTAGTTTAAAATCTCCCCAACCCCGGCCTCATCCCATGACCAACCCTCCCTCTCATCCCCGCCTCCTTGACCTGAAACACCCTGTCCGTCTTCTCTCCCACCTATCCGCTCCTCCCACCTCACTGACCAATCCCCACCACTCCCTACATGCACTCACCTATCACCATCCCACCCACCTTCCCCAGCCCCATCCCTCCTCTCTCTATTTATTTCAGAGCTCCCTTCCTCCTCCCCCATTTCTGAAGAAGGGTCCCGACCCAAAATGTCAACTTTCCTTCTCCTCTGATGCTGCCTGGCCTGCTGTGTTCCTCCAGCTCCTCACTGTGTTACATCCACCATTGCTCTCTGTCTCCTGCCATTAAGCCAATTATGTATCCAATTGGCAAGCTCACCCTGAATCCCATGTGACCTAACTTTACTAATTAGTCTACCAGGCGGAACCTTGTCAAAGGTTTTATTAAAATCCCAGTAAATAATGTCCACTGCTCTGCCATCATCAATCGTTTTGGTAACTTCCTCAAAAAACTCAATCAAGTTTGCGAGACATGATTTTCCTGGCACGAAACCATGCTGACTATTCCTAATCAATTTTTGCCTCTCCAAATGTCCATAAATCCAATCTTTTATAATCACCTCCAACAAATTACCAACAACCAAAGCCAGGCTCATAGGTCTATAGTTCTCCAGTTTCTCCTTACAACCTTTCTTAAACAAAGGTATAACATTAGCCACCCTCCAGTCATCAGGCACCTCACCTATAGTTATGGATGATACAAATATTTCTGCAAGGGGTCTCATAATTTCCTCCCTTACTTCCCACAACGTTGTGGATACCTTAGATCAGGGCCCAGAGATTTATCCGCCTTTATATTCTTTAAGACCTCCCAAATCTCCTCTTGTGTAATGTGAACTGCTTTTAAAACATCAAAGTTTATTTCTCCGCATTCTCTAGACTCGATTTCTTTCTCCACAGTAAAAACTGATGCGAAATATTCATTTAGTATCTCTCTCATCTCCTGGGGTTCAACACAAAGATGACCTCCTTGATTTTTAAGAGCCCCTACCCTGTCTCTAGTTACCCTCTTGCTCTTAATATATTTATAGAATCCCTTTGGATTATCCTTAAACTTATCTCCCAATGCTATCTCATATCCCCTCTTTGCCTTCCTGATTTCTGTCTTAAGAATATTGATAAAGAGATTCAATTGAACTAAGTTGGCTATATCTAAAATAAAATTATCTTTTATTCTTGACTAGAACCTCAATATCTTTATTCATCCATTGTTCCTTAATCTTACCAGACTTACCCTTCACTCTAACAGGAACAAAATGCCTGTGAACTCTTGTCATCACACTCTTGAATGCTTCCAACTTGTCAGACATCCTTTTACCTACAAACAGTCTACTCCAATCAATTTTTGAAAGATTTAGTCTCATACCATTAAAATTTGCCTTACCACAATTAAAAACTTTAACTTTTACAGAAGGCTTATCCTTTTTTATAACCATTTTGAAAATAATAGAATAATAATCGCTAGACCTAAAGTATTCCCCCACTTTTCAGTTTCCTGCCCTACCTTATTACCAAGAGGATGGTCCAGTTTTGCTTCTTCTCTAGTAGGAACATCCACATATTGATAAAGAAAATTTCCTTGAACAAATTTGACAAATTCTTCATCATCCAAACCTGAAACACCATAGTAGCCCCAGTCAATGTTTGGAAAATTAAAACCCCCATTATTACAACCTTATTATTCTTACATTTATCTGAGATCTCCCTACATATTTCTCAATTTCCCTCTTACTATGGGGTGGGGGGGGGGGGGGTCCACAGTACACTCTCATCAAAGTGATCTTTCCATTCTTATTTGTAATTTCTACCCATGTATTTTCACTTGATGACTTTTCAGAAATATCTTGCCTAGTTACAGCAGAAATGTATTCCTTAATCAAAAATACCGCCTCCCCCCTCCTTTCTTGCTTCCTTTTCCATCCTTCCTATACCATGTAAAACTGGAACATTGAGCCGCCAGTCTCCCAATCCCATGTTCTTAAATATGCCCTGAGTTCATCAGCCTTATGTGTAAGACTCCTTGCAATGAAATAAATGCAGTTTAGTTCTTCAGGTTTACTACGTACTCTGACTCTCTCTTGTCTTTCTTTTCTAATTGACGTGCTGTCTTCACATTCAGAAGAAAAGAGTTGGGATGTCAGATTGCGGCTATACAGGTCATCGGTTAGGCCACTTTTGGAATATTGCATTCAATTCTGGTCTCCCTGAATTAGGAAGGATGTTGTTAAACTTGAAAGAAAAGATATACAAGGGATTGGAGGGTTCGAGCTATTGGGAGAGTCTGAATAGGCTGGGGCAAAATAACCCTGGAGCATTGGAGGCCGAAGGGTGACCTTATAGAAATTTATAAAATCATGAGGGGCATGAATAGGGTGAATAGTCAAGGTCTTTTCCCCAGAGTTGGGGAGTCCAAAACTAGAGGGCATAGGTTTAAGGTGAGAGGGGAAAGATTTAAAAAGGACCTAAGGGGCAACATTTTTACATGCAGAGTGGTGTGTGTATGGAACGAGCTGCCAGATGAAGTGTTGGAGGCTGGTACAATTACAACATTTCAAAGGCATCTGGATGGGTACATGAATAGGTCGGGTTTAGAGGGATGTGGGCCAAATGCTGGCAAATGGGACTAGATTAGTTTAGGATATCTGATTGGCATGGACAAGTCAGACTGAAGATTCTGTTTCCATGCTGTATATCTCTATGATTCTATGACTAAGTTATTTCTAATGAAGGATACACTGTTGCACTTATAATGATTATAAGATCATTTTGTTTGGGACTTAAGATAAAATGAAGTGAATCTTTTGACAACAGGCATGAGTAATCTGCTTGTTAAAGATTAAATGAAGACCTTGATTGTTTTCCTGAAAAGAAGACACAAAGTATTCATTCTTGCAGACAATGGCAAATCAGATGGGATATCAGAGGACAGACTGCAGTTTGATGGGATGTTGGTGGACAGACTGCAGTTCTCCAAGTCCCAGTGTTAAAAAATATCAAGTTGTAAAAGGATACTTTAATCTGTCATAGAAACGCTACAGTGTGGAAGCAGGCCATTCAGCTCATCGAGTCTACACCAACCCTCTGAAGAGCATCTCACACAGACCCACCCACCCACCCTTACCCTATCCCTGTAACCCTTCATTTGCCATGGCTTATCCACCTTGGCTGCATAACGCTGGAAAGAATGGGCAATTTAGCATGGGCAGTCCACCTCACCTGCACATCTTTGGACTGTGGGAGGAAATTGGAGCACCCAGACAAAATCCATGCAGACATGGGAAGAATGAACAAACTCCACACACACAGTCACCTGAGGGTGTAATTGAATGCAGGTCCCTGGTGCTATGAGGCAGCAAGTGCCTACCACCGAGCCACTGTTCCACTCTAGAGTTGGACATTAAAGGATGGCTAATCAGAATTTCTACCTGGATTCAAGGCCTTTGGAATTCATAATCCATTAGGAAAGGATGCAGTGGAAGCTATTCTAAAAAACTGGCTTACAGGCTTCCTTAAAATATTACTGAATATTGGTTAATCTGTCACGGTCCAGACAGAGACAGCAGCTAGATGCAAAAAAGGTTCACCATGCAGGAATGCAGATGAACACTTGCACTTGGATTGGAAAGTTCAAATTCATGAGATAATTTTAAACGAGTCTGGAAGATTTATCTCACTTGCCTTAGAAGATTTAGTTGTTACCAGGCTAAGAAAGAAAAAGAAGGCTGAATAGTCTTTTCTGAGTATTTCTGGGTGAATTGAATGTTTATTTAAGGGAAGGTGTAGTGTATATCTGTCAAGTGTTTTTTATTTCTCCCATGATAAAAATAGGAAGGGGGTTATTTTGTTCTTTGGTTTAAAATATATGTTGCCTAACAGATATCATGTTTAGTCAATGGTGCTTTTAATCCTTCATTACAGGAACCATCTTAAAACACATAATCTTGTAATGTCATCCTTTTAGTTACTGACTGAAAGTTCAAAGTACTTTTTTACAAGCCATAAGTCTCTATGGAAATTGCAATGACACTTTTTAAATAATCAATCTTTTCTCTTTACTAACCTACATTGTTTTTCCAGGATGTTCTGTCCCTAACTACAATTTTCATGGGTGTTTGTGAATTGTGATATTGTAGAGATTGCACACACCTTTTGAAATTTGGTTCTATGGCTTTTGTGTCTAACAATATAAGTGATAATCAGGATTTCATCTTACACATTGCACAATAATAAACAATGGAAACCAAACAATCTTTACCTCTTGCTTTAAAAAAGGGAAATTTTTTTGCAAAAATGAATGCAAATAGATTTTACCAAAGATATACAGGTGCCAAGGCCGATGTTGACTTGGAAAATAGAAGTGCCATGTTTCTAGAGCCAGTCATTTCAAATATTTCATAAAAGACAGCATTTTTTCTGAATTGTTAAATAATATTTCATATGGATTATTGTAATTATGTTTTGGTACTGTTAAATGTTATGATTAAACCAGTAACTTGTAGGATGCATATTTAATTCAGTTCACCTTAAATATGAATTTTAATTATCAAAATTTTCTTGTAGAGATTTATACGGTCAACGAGAAAATAAAGCTTTGCAAGAGAAGTGTCTTGATTACCAAACAAATCAAGAGATCTACTGCAAGAACTGTGGCTGGGTAAAATGAGACTTAACAAAATATATATCTCATTCAATTATTATTTAATTAGTTGTCATACAGCTAACTGTATTTTTCTTGTCTTGTTTTAAAGCCATGGGGTACAATGATGGTCCATCGTGGAGTCAATTTACCATGCTTGTCAATCAAAAACTTTGTTGTGTTTATTGATGAGAAGAACTTTGAAAAACACACTTATAAAAAGTGGAGCGAAGTTCCCTTCAAGCTACCTAAATTCGACTACATCAAATATGTTGAAAGTCCCAGATAATATTTGTGTTGGCAGTTTCCATGTTAATTCAATTTACCATACACCAATATGCTGAACATTGATTAACAGTTGTTTAAATTACAATGATACAACAGAATGCGTCTAATAGTTCTGTCGTTGAGTTCTTATTTGTGCAATTTTAATTTACTACCAGCTTATTATCGAATGGCATAGATAACCATGTTCTAGTTGTAAATGTACTTTGTATGATGAAGAGGTGAAAAGCGATTTTTTTGAAGTTTGTGAGCAACCTTTACATATTTGTGCAACCACTCAAGTGGTAACTTTATCATGGTGATTTTTGCATAGCCTGCATAGGAACATTTAGATGTGGCTACACACTTTCAAACAGACATAGGTGATTTATTTAAGCATTAATTAGATCACAGCAGAAAATGTGAACTTTGGAGATGATTAACTGTGCTCAAAAACATGGGCAACATTCTGACATGCAAAGAATGCACTGATGTTTTAGGACTACAGGAACACAGGCATTAGGATGCCAAGTTTAATTGATCCTGGGGCTACAGTGGACTTCAGAATTTTGAATCAGGGGTTGAATAAGATCTAGGATCACAACATCAGGATTAAACTGGCGTCAGAAGTGAAAACAATTTTTTAATATGGAGACTGGATGTGTTCTCCTGCCAGGTCTACATTCAGGTAAATTACTTAGTTTCTTGGTAGCAAGCAAGCTGAGGATCCACAGATAATGGTCTGATTTCCTTGCGACAAGCCATTCTTGAAACCTTTTGCATGAAGTGAGCCTAAATTCTGCTTCAAGTGGATAAATGAAATATTTTATTTTATATATCCATTGTAGTGACTGGCACCTGTCTGGGCAGAAATCTGTATATATTTCTTGTTCAACATATTGGATACCTTAGGGTTCTGAGTAGCGCTGAAGGCATAAATACTGCATGGAATCGTTTCTCAGTCTTGATATCTTCAATATAACTTCATTTTCCTTTGCAATAAAAGTGTCCACATTCCTGAAGGAGATTTGTGGTTGCTGTGGACTGTAGAGTTTTCTTGTGAAATAAATGCATGTGACAGAAAGAACATGATCAGCAATGTTTTCAACTTACTGCTTTATCAAATATATTTATGCATCTTTTATGTGGATGAAAAATGCAGTATTTTATCGTTCAATAAAAATATCTTTTTTATCAAATGTTTGTTTTTCTGCCTTTGTGATAAACTTTCATGACATGTTCTCCATCTTATAGCAATATACGTTATATCAAAAATAAACACTGAGAATGCTGGAGAAACTCAATAGGTCTGGAAGCATCAGTGGAGAGAAAAGCAAGGTTAATGTTTCAAGTCTGGTATGACTTCAGAACCGAAAGATATTGGAAAACAGTTATTTAAAAAAATAATTTTGACAAGAGGCAAAGGAGGAGCAAAAGGACGGATGATAATGGGCTCAATGCAAAAGACAATGGGATTGTTAATAAAGGAGAAAGAAAAAAGACGTTAAAAAAGAATGTAAATTAAAGTGTGAAAGAAAGAGAATTAAACATTTCTACTAAGTTCAAAGTAAACAAGATACAAAATGACACACCCTTGGGGAGCTGGAGTTGGGGGTTGTGGTTAAGGGGGAGAGAATGTCAGAGAAATCATAGAATCCGCACAGTGTAGAAGCGGCCATTCGGGCTATCAAGTCCACACTGACGTTCTGAAGAGCATCACATCCAGACCCAAACTCTCTTCCCTATCCCCGTAACTCCACGTTTAGCATGGCCAATCCACCTAACCTGCACATCTTTGGACTGTGGGAGGAAACCGGAGCGCCCAGAGGAAACCGAAGAGAGAATGTGCGAACTCCACACAGACAGTTACCTAAGGGTGAGAATTGAACCCGGGTCCCTGGCACTGTGAGGCAGGGTGTTAATCACTGCTGGTCAGGATTGGAGGGCAGACATAAGGTGGCTAGTTTCTTAAATTATTAAATTCAACGTTGAGACCTGAATGCTGTAGAAAGCCTAAGCGGAAAATGAAGTATTGTTCCTCAAACTTGTGTTTTCCTTCATTAGAACATTGCAGCAGGCCCAGGATAGATACATGTGCATGAGAGCAAGCGGGTTTATTGAAATGGTAAGCAACTGGGAGGGCAGGGTCATTCCTACAGACAGAATGGATGTGTACTGCAAAATGGATACCCAGACTGCATCTGGTCTTGCCAATGTTAGGGAGACTGCAATGTGAGCAGCCAATGCTGCAAACCAGATTGAAAGAAGTACAAGTGAAATGCTGCTTCACCTGGAAGATGTGTTTGGAGCCTTGGACATTGAGGAGGGAGATGATGCTGGGTAAGTGTTACTCTTTCTACATTCACATCGGAAGGTGCCATTGGGAAGTGAAGAAGTGTTACAAGTGATGGAGAAGTGGATCAGAGTATCATGGAGGGAACAGTCCCTGCAGAATGCTGTCAGTGGAAGGGACGGGAAGATGTGTTTGGAGGTGGCCTCCTGCAGGAGGTGTTGAAACTTTCAGAGGATGATCCTTTCAACGTGAGACTAGTATGGTAGAAAGTCAGGACAAAGGGAACCCTTTAATTGTAGTGGGAAGGAGGGGAAGGGGTGATTGCAGAAGTCCAAGAGATGGGTCGACACGGTTGAAGGCCCTATCTTCTAAGCGATGAAAGCAAGCATGTGAAATAGTTTCTTGACCATCCTGTCTGCCTGTGATGCAAATTTCAAAGAATTACACACCTGCAACCCTATGTCTATCTGTTTTATAATACTACCCATGACACTACCATTAATTGGCTATGACCCATACTTGTTTGTATTGCCAAAATGCAAAACCTCACATTTATCCAAATTAAACTCCATCTGCCACTCCTCAGCCCATTGACCAAATTGGTCAAGATCTCTTTGTAATCTTAGATAATCTTCTTCACCATCCACTATTATAAACGATGCCTGCTATATTCTCATCCAAATCATTTATATAAATGACAAACGTGGACCCAGTACCGATCTCTGTGGAACACTGCTGGTCACAAGCCTCCAGTCTGAAAAACAGCTCTCCACTACCACCTTCTGACTCCTACCATAAAGCCAATTTGTATCCAATTGACAAGCTCATCCTGAATCCCACGTGATTTAACTTAACTAATTAGGTATTGGAAAGATTTCAAAAGTTGTAAATATTCATTTTTACTCAGCAAACAGCAAAAATGAAGAAGAAAGACAAAAGCTGCATTTTCTGGAGAACAGACTGGAACCACTTGCCTTTCAAGCAGTAATAAATTTACAGTCAATGAACGATTGCTGCTCTCATCCTTGCTGTGTTTTGCACTTACTACTAATTTACTGGGGTCACCTCACCACCTCCTTCTACTGAATCACCAATAACTGCTCTCCATTCATTTCCATCATTTTGTCTCAATCCAGGAAATACTGGCCCACCCCTTCACATTGATGTCTAAGCAGCACCCTAACTGATCTATCTGAAATCCCCAGACTAAATGCAATTGAGCTGCAGGACTGACTGGGCCCAGTCCATAAACTGCAAGGACACAGATCACTGAACTCTGGAAGGACCAAGTGCCTGAGTAGCTGTGGCTATACCCTAACTGGAACTGGACTTGCCTCTTGATTGACTGTAGAAATATACCCAGCTGACTGTGGCCTCACTTTACCCTGCATTCATTCGCGGTCAGTCGTCTAATATACATGCAGTGCGTTTGCCGTGTAAACTGCTGCAGGTGTGACATTGATATCGCACAGAGCCACAAAGCAAAATGCTCATCCACATCCACATTCAGTCCTCCCCAGAACAAGCTGCCTCCCCCTCCCTCTGCATTGTTTGATGTGTAAGTAGCCTTGCGCTGTACCTTCACAAGGTTGACACATCTTTACGCATGCTTGGTGCTGCACCTGGCATGCCCTCTGCACTCTTCATTGAGCTTGGATTAATTGCTTAGTTTGATGGCAATGGTAGAGTAAAGAATATGCCAGGCAGTATTGAATATAATTCTGCTGCTCTTGATGGCCTACAGTGCCTCATGAATGTCCAGCTTTGACTTGCTAGATCTGTTTGACATCTGCCCCATGTAGCAGAGTAGTAGTGCCACACAACATGATGAATAAATGGGACTTCTTCTCCATAAGGATTGTGTGTTGGTCATTCATTACAGCAATATCATTCATCAAAAGTAATGCACTTATGTATGCCAAAAATGCAGCAATGCCTTTCACCAAAAACACAACAAATGTGCTGTAAGATATGTGAATTATGTATATTTTAATATTTATTTTAAAGTTTGGATTTTGAACTAGTGGCATGTGGATTTTTATCTGTTTTTAAGACTATGTTTTAGAAATTAACTTTGTGGTATTTTTGGAGCCATGATCTTTTTAATTCAGAATGAGAGATAGAGTTCCAGAAGTGATAATGGGGATTTGTTTGCATTGGGAAAATTTTACAAGTGTACAGAGTAAATATTAAGGAGGATTAGCTTGTGTCAGTTAGAAGAATCAGGAATTGAATTTATTTTTGCTTTAGAAAAACAACATAGCCTCAAAAGCTTTGCAGCTCACAGAAATCCTGGTTGAAATTAAATACACAAAACACGTTTTCTTATAGGAAGGGATTAGTTCAGAAAAATTAAGAAATAGGTCACCCCAGTGTAAGGATTTCAATTAAAAGCTCCAGACCAAATATGTTTGGTTAGAATTTTGAAAGGATTATTTGAAGCTGAGAATATTTTAGCTCAGTTGTGTGAATAATCAAGGAAAAGCCTATCAACAATCAATACTGGGAACTGGGACAAATAGTTACATCAAACTTAAAGTTGGAATAGAGAAGGAAACTCTCTAAGTGTTAAGTAAAGTGGTGATGTTCAGATAGATGGTATTACTTTTGACCGTGCATTTCAAAAAAAACAAAAAACATTACTCACCAAACACACAGCAATATCATCAACAAATATATCAACAATATCATGACCAGAAACTCAACTGGACTCACCACTTTAACGGAGTGGCTGCAAGTGCATGCCAGAAGCTGGGAATACTGCTGTGAATAACTCACCTCCTGACTCCTCAAAGCCTGTCCATCATCTACAAGGCACAAGTCAGGAGTATGATAGAATACTCCCCACTTGCCTGGATGAGGGCAGCCCCAACAACACTCAAGAAGCTTGACACCATCCAGGACAAAGCAGCCCGCTTGATTGGCATTACATTCATAAGCATTCACTCCCTCCACCACCAAACCTCCGGAGCAGCAGTGTGTACTATCTACAAGGTGCACTGCAGAAATTCACCAAAGATCCTCAGACAGCACCTTCCAAACCCATGAGCATTTCCATCTAGAAGGACAAGGGCAGCAGATATATGGGAACACCACCACCTCCAAGTTCCCCTCCAAGTCACTCACCATCCGGACTTGAAAATATATTGCCGTTCCTTCACTGTCACTGGGTCAAAATCCTGGAATTCCCTCCCTAATGGCATTGTGGGTCAACCCACAGCAGGGGGACTGCAGCGGTTCAAGAAGGCAGCTCACCACCACCTTCTCAAGGGTAACTAGGGATGGGCAAGAAATGCTGGCCAGCCAGCGACACCCACATCCCACAAAAAAAAGAATAGATAAAAACATATAGCAATCTCTTACTAAGTATTCAGTAACAATGTACATCAAAAATATAGAAACACTAGTCAGCAAGAGTACAGAAATGTCACACACACACCAAAAATACAGCAATACCAGGCACCAAAAAATATAAATGCATAAACAACAGCAACATTGTGAACCGAATATAAAGCTAAAGTTACCAAAGTTAAAGATTAACATGACATGCAATATTGGGAGAATCCAGCAAATTAAATATATCCCAATAACAAACTTTAATAAAAGAGAGATGCGCACAATTAAATCTGGACAACGTAAAGGAATCATGCCACTGACAAATCAGCATTAACTAATTCTTCCTTTGGCAATAATTGCACAGTGTCCCAGAAAACTGCCTATTTGGTTAAGAGAAATTGAGAGATGTATCATTTCCAGAATGAGCTCATATGAACAATTAGTAAAAAATATTTCACGTCATCACCACAGACGTAGGCAATGGTCAAATGTTATAGTATTCAATAAGTAAATCCTCTTGATGAAATGAGACACAGGGTGGTGATGGAGGGTTGTTTTTCAAACTGGAGG